GAGCGCCCGCCCGGCCGGCCGCCCGCCGCGCCAGGCCCCAAGGTGCCTGCCCTAATGGGCCTGCCAGGTAGAGGCAGAAAACAGTGTCTAAGAAATTGGCTTCATGTACAAAGTATGCAGAGGCACTAGACAAGATCAGCTGCGTGGGTGTAGCCGGGGCATTCATTAAAAACAAACCAAAACCGGCACACACAATAAGCATGTTTTATTGTGCATGGACTTGAGCGCTTCAAGTACAAGATTAGAAAGATAACTCCGTACACTGCTAGGCAGCATCTGCAGAGTGTTACTGAGATAACATACAAGTGATTTTTATCAAAAAGATGCTTCTATAAAATGGGGGAGGAGAGAGGAAATACCAATTTTTTTAAGCCAGAGCTTAAACTTAAAGAAAACATAACCGTCCAACTTTCACTGCGGCACAGGTCAGTAACACAAATCATAACCGGTCAGAACAACACACCAAGAGTTCAAAACCGTGAAGCCCATTTAATCATTATTTCTATGAAACCCTTTACTAAAGTCCCTATGCATGTTAGTGAGATAAGAGCTGCAAATTCTGCCCGTAATGAATTCTGACCCCAAGCAAAAAAAGACAGTTCCTCCGGTATCGTTAACAGAATACATCACATTATTTGTGTCAGCTCCTAAGAACAGCAGATACCGAAGGATTTTGCTTCACCTGGCAGGGAGAAAAAAAAAAAAAAAAGCTACCGGAGTATTATTGGCGCTCTGCCAACTGAGGATCTTGTCAGTGACCTCTACTCCATTTACCCTTTTCTACACAAACACAGAGAACATTTTCTGTTGAACTTAAAAAGTAAGGCTTCTTTAAAGCAAAGATTCAATGAAAAATAACCTGTTTCACAGCAAATATTTCAACGCTAATGCCAATGCTTTCGGGGAAAGAAGTGCAGCCGAAGGGACAGTGGCCCAACCAGGCTGCAGCCGAACTAGTTCCACTATTTTATTTTCAGTGGTTAAACAAAGAAAAAAAATACCTCTTTCAGCACAGTTCCATAGATGCGAGTGCTTCAAGCTTATCAAAGGGATCTGTCTGCCCATAAAACGTCACAGGATTTCCCTTGGGTATTTCAAGGGGGAGAGAAGGGGAAAGCCTGAAGCTCAGCTGCGGCGGAGGATTTTTGGAGGGCTGCTTGAGGAAAAGGACGCGCCTTGGTCCTTTTTGTCATTTCACGCGAAGCGAAAAACACCCAGCCTGAAGTTTCGCTTTGCAGCCCGTGTTGCAACAGCAGGGCTTTTTTAACTTGTTTCCGAGCTCAGCAGAGCCGGCAGCCT